AATTGGATATAAATTCAAATTTAATGCACACATATATAACACAAATATTGATACATATACATAGTAGTTACATATATCAACTGAATTAAGAGGCTGTCAGCGATTTATACAAATGAGAGATTGCTAGCCATTCAAATAAAAGGTTGTCAGATTCATACAAATCTGATGTTCCAAAGCAAACATAAAGTTTGCTATGAAACGCAATTATACAAGCTATAGTATATAAATAAGGAAAAATGCACAAGTACCCCCTCAACCTATGCCCGAAATTCCAGAGACACACTTATACTATACTAAGGTCCTATTACCCCCCTGAACTTATTTTATAAGTAATTTTCTACCCTTTTTAGCTTACGTGACACTAGTTTGAAAAAAAAGTCAACCATAGTTGGGCCCACAAGATAGTGCCACGTAGGCTAAAAAGGGGTAAAAAATTATTAATAAAATAAGTTCAGGGGGGTAATAGGACCTTAGTATAGTATAAGTGTGTCTCTGAGATTTCGGGCATAGATTGAGGGGGTACTTGGGCATTATCCCTATAAATAAAAAAAATTATGTTTACTAAACCTAAAAATCACTTCAATTTAAATTATGTTTTTACAAATGAGAGCATTCAATTGCTCAAATTAGGTTTAAATGAAAAAGTGAATTTAATTATATTAATTAAAAATAATATTTTCTCCATCTCATTTTATGTGACAAGATTTGATCGACTGCGGAGTTTAAGAAATAATGAAGATTTTGAAATGTTTATTAAATTGTCCTTTAAAAAGTAGACTCACTTTTCTCACTCCTCATAACTGTACTCTCTCCGTCCAGCATTGTTTGTCGTGATTTATATTTTTAGAGTCAAACTATAAAAACATTGACTAACATTTTAAGATGTTTTTTTCATCATATTAATATGTAAAAAATTATAATTTATAGTACTTTTCATACAGTTTTAGAATATCTTTTTTTTGTTTAAAATATCAAATTAATGTGATCTAATTTACCTTTAAAAATTAGACAAATTAACTTTCGATAAACATAACATGACAAACAATTTCAGAAGTGGGAGTATTGAGTACTATATTTAAGATTAAGAAGGACCAATAAAGGTAAAAGAAAAATTGTACCTTTAAATAATTACCATATAAAAAAATATAACATTCTTTTTAAACTTACTAAAATAAAAATGATGCGACATAAAATAGAACGGAGGAAGTATATTACTTCCTTAAATAGTTGGATAGCAAAAGAGCACGATATTGTAAGTACAATATGCAATAATTGGATGAACAAATTGGAAGTGGAAGTTTGTCGTAACCTTCTTCTTTTCACGTTAAATAGAAATTTTTCGTCTTATTTTATATGTCATATTTTTATTTTGTATTTGTATTAAAAATAATGTAACTTTACCCTTCTATCTTCATAAAAAAAATTGAAACTCAAGTTTTCAATTAATGAATATGAATTAATTTATCTTGATTAATTAATTTAACCAATGAACATGAATCATTCACTTAACTTTTCTAAGTCAGTCAAATGTATGTGACATACAATGCTAATAATTCACAAGGATAAAAAAAAGAACAATATATTAATTTATACATTAATTTTATGAAATGATAAATATTATAAATCAACTATTTATAAATAGAGATGACATATAAAATGAGACAAAGGGAGTAGCTAGTATATTTTTTTTCCCATACTCCATTAAGGATAAAAAAAACGGTTGTTAATTGGAGTAAATAAAATAAAATAAATTTGGGCTGATGCCTCTTTAATAGACCATTTTTTTTCTAAGAAAAAAACTTAATTGTAAAAGTTATTGCAATTAATAATTTAATATATTAGGTATAAAAAGTTTTATTAGAATTCACGAAAAAAGGGGTTAAAAATATATTTAGACTATTTGAAAAAGTTAAAATGTATTCTCTGTCATGTTAATATATTCTCTGTCATGTTGCGCTTATTAAAAGTTAAATGGATTAATTTTTAAAGGTAAATTAGATTACATTAATTCGATATTCTAAAAAAAAAAAATTTCAAAAACTATATGAAAATTACTATAAATTTCAATTTTTTGCATATTAATATGATGAAAAAATTTTATAGTTTAACTATAAAAATAGAAATCATGACAAACAATATCGAACGAAGAAAGTACCATTAATTGGGCTAAAAATATTCTTCAATCCACTTTTTTAGCCTATTTTCACCCATAAAACTTAGCAGATTTTTCAAAATAATTATTATTAATACTCCTTATTACATGGCGTCTACCTATTGGATGAAATAAATCCCCAACTCAGTAATTCTTTTCCAACCTGCCCGACCAATACTACATTACTATGACCTAAATCCAATTAAACACAAGCGACCCAAATTTAATACACACACTTCGTCTTTCTTTTTGGAACAAGTTTTTAAGAATGTTATAAGCGGGAGGGAGGCGAGCAAGACTGAAAGAAAGGCGAGAGAGGTGAATTATATATGTATATTGATTACATAATTATATACAATATATATGTATTTATATATACATATGTATTATGCAAATTTTTTTATAGCATACAAATATAAATTTCTTATTTGCTATATGTGAAAGTTGTCCTATTTTTTACCTAGTCGGTTTAATTTATTTAGTTGGGTTTTGTCCCAATTTTATTAGAATTTATAGTGTTATATTTTAATTCCTATTTTTGTGTTGGGGTTTATCATATATGAGATTTTTATTGTTTCTAATTACTTGTCCACTTTTCCTTTTATACTTGTTTTCAATTATTTATTCATTTTGACAAATCAAGAAAGAATAATTTTTTTTACCTATTATATCCTCAATTAAATTTTTATTCATTAACTTAATGATAAATTTACTATCTTAATAATTATTCTTTTAATAAGTGTATCAATTTAAAAGTGGAAAAATAATTTGGAACAGAGAAAATAATAACTTAGTAGCAAAAATAATCTAACAAATGGTTAAAAACAAAAAAAAGAACATCTAAACAAATACATTCACTCCACATTATGCATCTTTGTATGCAGATGCATGTTCGATTTCTTATGCAAACATTATAGAGCACATGTAGTTGTGTGTTCTTAGAGAAAGCATGCACATTTTGTTTGCAAACACTATTTATTCATTCATCTATAGTAAAGGTGTTTACGGTCAGATTTGGATTGGTTATTGATTAAAATTAAAATTAAATCAATTTAGTTGATTTTAAAAATTTTTAAAACTAAATAAAATCAAATGAAAAAAAATAACCAACACTTTGGTTATTGTCGGTTTGATTCGATTTAGTTTAATTTTTCTGGTTTATTCAGTTTGAAAGTAATATTTTTTTCTAAGACATACTTATCTCGATAGACACGAACACCTAATACTAGTACTGAGTAATTCACAAAAAAACTATTGTCGATTGAAGTAAACAATACTAACTTATCAGTTAGCTAGTTTGGAAAGACTAAAATGAATTTTGATAGACTTGAACTTAAGATTGTTATAGTTATACTAAAGTGTTGAGCTACAGAAAACGATAAAGTTACAAATTTCAGTCAATTTAAAATTAACAAAATATTTATATTTTATTTATAAATAATATATAAATAATTATAAAATTTCTACATCTAATTTATCGATTTGGTTTGGTTATTTGTGAGGTTTTTATTTAGTAAAATCAAAACCAAACCAAATCAAATGCTATCGATTTTCAAATTTAAAACTAAATCAAACTTAACCAAATTAAACATCAATTTTCCTATTTGATTCGATTTGAATTTTTAACTATAACCATAAACAACCTTAATTTATCGTAAGGTAAAGTGATCAAAGAAGTTGGAATAATTCATATAAATGCATAAATAATTGTGATGTCTTTTAATCCTATTAAATTTGTTATCAAAGAAAGACAAAAGGTCAAAAGAAACGTACTAAAGAAATAAATGCAAGGCTAAAGTAATTTAGTGAAATTAGAATGTGCCTGTTTAAATTTGGAGGGGTTTAATATGTTTTCTTATCATGAATATATTTTGTTTTTAATTTAAAAAAAATGAGATAAAAGTTCAAAAATCAGATAAAATAGGTAAATACCATCTAAATACTAATTGTAGCCGTGCCACACCATCATTTTCATAATCTCCCCAACAACCACAATAATAATATATTAGTAAGAATTAACAACTGAATATTAATTGTCCTTAATTATCATTCAAAGACAATTAGAACAGCAAATCTTGACTTTTTATTTTTATTTTATTTTTTCACAAGGAAGAGTTATTGAGATTTAACAATTAATTAAAGCAAATTTTATAATGGCCTAAATATAATGTCTTGATCATTATCCATCGATATTGTTTAAGGTAATAAGACGAACTTCATCAACTTTATCATGATTAATTCTAGATTTTGTTTAAGTTTCTAAATGATTTTGCAACTTAAATACATGTTTTACTTGTTAGTTTTTCTTTTTGGGTTATCGGGGAGGTCTCACAATGGGAAGGGGTAGAGCTATATAGAACTCGGGATTGATTGTTTTTCGAAAAATTATATTGTATATATTGAATTGATTTATCAATTTATGCGTATAAATTTAATAATAAACCTCCTTAAAATAGGTTAAAGACTTGATTCAGTGGTAAAGTGCCTTGAAGATTCCGCCAAATCTTCTCGGCTTCGTGAGTTTGAGTCTTCCGGATATTTTAGTTTGTTGCTGATATTTTCTATGTAGAATTGAATTCTATCTAGTGACTTATATCTAATCCTACGTGGATACTATTAGTGTGCATATTTGTGTTTTTTGAAAATCTCAATGAAAATTCTGTCATCGCTACTAATTAGGGGTACAACACTTTCTAACAAAAGAGATTCCGTATCGAGAAACTCAGATCCCTTTAATTAATAATAAAAGATAATCACCACTCTAACAAAATCCTTGTCGATTACTTTTTAGTCGTTTTACGACGGACTTCAAAATATTTAAACATAATAAGAGAGGAGTCAAAGAACATGTCAAATTGAGATTAATTTCTTATTTTGATTGAGAATTTTTTTTATTTTATTAATACAAATTAAACAAGAATACATCTATAAATACCACAAAAGCAAGTATCAGGATTTGGGCACTCTCCAAAAACAGTGCCTTCATAAGTCTTTCCACAAGTGACCATACATTTCCCTATCTCACAATTCTCCATTTTTATTGGCACATATATCAATGTATCAGTGCATTTCCTCTCCAAATTTCTCCCTGTTCACACACATATTAACAAAAAATAAAATAAAAAATCATGATTCATTCTAAAATTTTAAAAAAATAAATTAGAGTTATTTTTTTAACCTTTTGCAAGTAATGTAAAGCCAAAATCTTAAAAAGTTCAACTTAATTTTTTAATTGCCACAATTTATTTGAAATTGAGATCTAAATGACAATTGTTTATGTTGTTGTATCCCTTGATTTCTAAATCAACAATAATAATAACGTATTTTAGGTAATTTTATGATTTTTAGATCAACAAAAAAAAATTAATACTTTATTCACGATAATTATAAAGTGATGCGGAGATTAAAAGGTACATACCAGAGGATGTAGCACAGAGGAGAATGAAGCATAGAAGAACAAGGATATGAATCAACTTCATTTTTGTTATTTTTTTGAACTTATTAGGGAAAATGATAAAGAACTTTGCTTTTAAAAATATGATTTGACCTTAAACCACACCATACTGTCTTTTATACTCCGTTCTTTTTCTATTTTTAATTATTATTTTCCTTTTTTAGTTAAATAAAATTTTTAACTAATATTTTATGATTATTTTTTTTATTATATTGATATTCCAAAAAATTTAATACAATACTTCTATTGTAGTTTTTAAATATATATATTATTTTTAAAAAATTAAATTTATATAATAATTTAATTTTTGACAAATAAAAGTAAACTAAGTATTATTTTTTAGACATTTAAAACCACCTTGATAATTGCAAAATAATCTATATTAATCTTGAAGGTGTCTTTTTGCTATTCAAAATACAATCTCTTTTCATTTCTCATTCACAATAAAAAGTTATTTTACTCGTCACTTTTTAATATTAAAAATTGGAGTAAAAAATAATATATTAAAAAATATAATTATAATATTTTATATTTTACTTTCATCATTAAATATTATTTTTTAAAATTATTTTGTAAGATCTGATACTAAACATTATTCAATTGAGATAATTTAGTAAATGCATATATTAATAATTATTTTTATAATGAATATATTAAATCAAATTACGACAAATAAAAATAAATTAAAAAAATATTTCTAAAATATCATTTTTAGTGTATCTAAGACCATAAACTTAAAAAATATTTTAATACATTAAACACATTTTTTATGAAAAATAATCATAAAATTCAAAAATAATTTTTATTTTCTTAAATTTGCCGAATCAAAGTAAAACAAACAAATTTCATTTTTAATGTCTGTCCTGAACAAATTTTACTATTTGTTAATATTTATTTATAAGTCCTTCATAATTTTTATTCTTAGGCCAATTTGGTCCATTTCTTTTCAGATCGATGATAACTGGAAACTATGGCGGCTCGCTTACTCCGACCGCACTGCCATGGCGCCGCCGTAGGTCAGTTTTTCTTCATCTACAACTCCAAATTCTTGTTTCAATATTCAACCATTGCAGATAAAACTGCATGTGACCAAACACGTTTCTTGGTGAACTATCTTGTGAACTCGCTTGGATTTTCTAGAGGAGAAGCCATTTCAACCAGCACTAAGGTAACTCGTTCGAAATCCACTGCAAATCCTCAATCTGTGTTAAATTTCCTCGAAAAAAGTGGTTTGGACAAAACCCATATCGGTAATATTGTTTCTGCAGTTCCCAAGTTGCTTGTGTGTGATGTTGACAAAACCCTTAAGCCCAAACTTGACATTCTTCAAGGTATTGGTTTGACTGGATCTGATTTGGTCAAGGTCATTACTGGGAGTGTGTCTATTTTGAAAAGCCTAGAAGTTTCTGATTTGGAATTCTGCATTAGTTATCTTAGAAAAATTTTGGGTAGTGATGAGTATGTAGTGAAAGCTATCAAGAAAAGAACATGCTTACTCTCTGTTAAAGCATGTGAAAGAGTGAAAATCAATATGTTGTTCTTTCAGAGCATTGGGTTTACCGATGATGATATCAAAAAATTCATACTTCAAAACCCATATACTCTTTTGGCAAGTCCTGAGGTTGTAGAGGAAAAAGTTCACAGACTTGAAAATGAATTTCATATTTCTCGAGCATCGGGATTGTTTATCCATGGAGTTGATGTGTTTATTTCGATGAAAGAGTCGACTGTAGACACAAAACTTGATGTTTTAAGGGATTATGGTTGGTCTAAATGGGAGATAATCAAATTGGTTCAGCTTTTGCCTTATTGTTTGAGACTGTCAAAGGAGAAATTGCGAGCTGCGCTAGACTTCTACATGGTGCAACTTGGTTTGAAACCTGCCTACTTGGCTTCTCATCCAACACTGCTTATGTTCAGTATGAAAAAGAGAGTTTTGCCCCGGTTGGAATTCATGAGAAGTTTAGTTGAGAAGAAACTATGTGATGAAGATTACAATCTGTATACTGTTCTGTTGCCATCAGAACAGAAGTTTTACCAGGCTTATGTGCTTGCCCATAAGCTGCCTGATGTCTGTGAACTATACAACAAAATTCAGCAGCATGGAAAAGACAAAAAGTGATATTCTTGCTCGCCAAAGGTTTAATACTCCATTTCATTTTTCCGATCTAGTCTTTTGCAATTTCTACCATAGTGAGATTATAATGCGAAAATGATATGTATAGCTTTGTACTAAAGGGAAGAAAGTCCAGTAGAGGGTCTTGAGAATCAGAAAGTTAGAAATCTGTTTCTGCTTCTATCCTCAAAATTCGTTCCTTTGTCATTCTCCATTTAAACAGAAGATTTGGTTCACCGGCAACAGTTTGAACTCGTGATCTGTGCTTATATACAGCAGATTGTGGTTGATTAGGTTGTTATTTTATCTTATCAGCCTTTAGGCTATTTATATCTATCCATCAATGCCTAGATCTCAAACTAGTCTGCCTTAGCTGTATCATACCATTCCATATAGTCAGGCCCATTTCATTATCAAACCCCTAGTTCTACTCAAGGGTGAAATTTCAACAGTTAAACATAACACAGAGCTTGTTGGATATTGTTCAGAAAAATTCATTTTGAGTTCTTGACAATGTAATACTTCCTGGAAACCCATCCCCTGAATTTTCATTTGCTGATTGTTTGGTGACGATAAAATCTCCTTGCTGAGATTACTTGACTAAGACATTTTTTTTTTCATTGTTTCCTTGCCATCCTCCCACCTCTCAAAAAGGTGAAAAAGGAATTTTCATTCCTTTGTGTCCTCTAGGTAATATATCATAGTAGGCATCTATCAAGCTTTTAGTTGCCCAAAAAGAAAGTAGAAGAAGAATTAGTTTGGGCTTTATACCGATCACAATAATCAGTTTGGGATTTATCTGCTGATGAACCTTTCTTTTTCTAAAAAATGAAAAATTGTCTATAACTAGTTAAACCTGTATGATGCAACTAATTTGACAAGTTGCATATGTTTGATTAATAGAGTATGGGTAAGAATTATTTGCCAAGTATGAACTCGATGTATTAGGCTTCCATCTTCCAATTAGGGAGCTAGGAGCACCAAAACAGTAAGAATGGATCTTTGATGATGTTTGTTACCTGTTCACACTCTAGCTGCAATGTTGCTTCTACTTTGAAAGCTTTCGGGTTCAGCTAACCCCCCTGTTTATTTATCTTATTTTAGTCACATATTAGAATTCAGATGTTTGGAATCTTCCACCAGTCGCACAGTGATTTTTTGTTGTGATTATCACTAGTGCCTGAGGGTTGTGTTGTGGATTATCCATGCTTTGTTATGTGACTAATTTCTTCTTTTCTTTCCAAGGATTCACACAAGAGAATGAAGATGTTTATCAACTTTTAGAAACCCATCCCCCTCCTCCCTCGTGGCTAACCCCTCTCTTTCTCTGCATTTATTATGGATATCTTTTTTGGAGGGAAAGTGAAGTAGTTTATTTATTTTATCATGTTAATATATTTGAACTTGAGATCTCATGGTTCTCTTACCCACTTCATTAACCACTAGGACACACGCCTGGGTCGGTAGACAGAGTTATCCGGTGCATATAATGATTTGTGGTAGAATATAACAGGTACCAGTTGAATCAGTCCAGGTGTATTCAAATTACTAAATAGATACAAATAAGTTCAATGCCGACATCACTACATAAAACGTGTGTCCCTTGCTCCTTGCTGATGGAGCAGGTTCAGATACTCCTCCTTTACTATTATTATTTTTAGGAAAAAGACCATTCTTGTAATTTCATGGTCTATACAGAAAATGTGAGGAACAACATCATTTTGACAAATAGTTTTGGTGATATTGTTTGGATTTCTAGGAAGAGTCTGATTCTAAGAGTGCTTTCTTTAACGAATGGTTCCTAGAAACTATGCCCTAATACCATCTTAATCTTTGAATTTCTTGTGCAGTATTTTGGCTCAATAGCAACTTCCTATGTTGTGCTGGATGAGGCATGCGAGAATGACAACCGTTGTGGCATTCAATCAGAGAAGGGCGGTGATGGCAACAGCTTTGCAGATGACTCATTGCTGCTTGATGAGAGGACTTGATCTGCAAAGTCATCTCAAGCATGCATTCATACAGATTGCAGGTAGCAAACACACAGCATTCTGTCAAACAAAGCTGAAGCAGAGCCGGTGATGCATAATTTTACTAGTTTTAACTCTCTAAGATGGATAAACTTTAATGTCAATAGCTCTCAAGCTGGCCAAATAGCAAACAATGGCTGGCAATTTTGTCTCTAAATCCTGACCTACATTTAGTCTTGTAGTTAAGTACATGCTTTTGATATTTCTCAGAATTTCAGTTAGGTAGCAGAAGCCACAGGAAAAGAGACACAAAAGGGTGTGTTCAGTATGAAGGTAATTGTTTTCCATGGAAAATGTTTCGAGGACAATATATGGTTTTTTAATTATTGTCTTGTGTTTGGTACGTAAATAAAATGTATTGTTCTAGTATAGGGAGATCTAATTCTTGGTACCTCTTTGAAGGAGAGATATCTTCACCCTAATACAGGGAACAATTTCAGGGGAGTTCCAATTTTTGTGGGAGTGGGGATTAGGGTAAATAGTCGAGTGTTGTCTAGTTCCGTTCGTTATTACTATTATTTTACTTGTCTCCATTTCAATTTCATATATTATTTGTTGCTTTCAGCATGACTTCTTAGCTACTGACAAAATTTTTCATATGTTCACTTGAGCTAATGGTCTTATCGCAAATAATCTTTCTACGTACACATCATTCTCTCCCGTATCTCACATATGGAATTACTACAGTAGGCATGTTGTTTGGATGGAGGGTAAAGGAAGTTCTAATGGTAAGAGTCTGGGAGGAAGAACCCTTGTGAACAATGAAAAGTTGGTCTATGTTTATTTCCAAAATTTAGAGCAATTAACAAAGGAGGATCGTGTTAGTTTACGAGTTATATTGTTATCATTAACATAAAACTAGTTAATTTTTTCAATACAAATTTCGAATTTATTTGGAATTGAAGTATCGTCGTTATTGATGATGTTGCGAAAGATGTATTAGTTCGAGTGAGAACTATATTCAAACTTTTCTAAAGTGACAATATTTGTCTAATAGATTTTAACATGTATACTTTTAGTTTGGCTATCATAAACAAGACCACATAAAATTTATCTTTTATATTTTTTTTTAATGTTACACACGAAAACAAAATATTAGTTAAATTAAAAATGTCAATTGATTTTCATATTTCATTAATTAAAATTTTTTAAAACTAATACTCTACTAATAAATTTTTATCTAGTTGAACCATACCAATAAAAAAAAACTGTGTTTTTTTTACTCTTGCTAAGTATAGAAAGGTGCTCAACGATATGTTCCTCCGATTCAGAGGCGGCGCCGCCGCCGCTGCGGCTGCCGCCAGATTTCACGGTTTTACAGACTTCCTTTCCTTGAATAGTATCAAATCTCAATGTCTCTACTCAACAAGCGCAACCTCAGCATTGGTGAAATACCTGGTTGATTCTCTCGGGTTCTCTAAACAAGAAGCATCGTTGGCATCTTCCAAGGTAACTTCACGGAAACACTTAGATAATCCTGATTTAGTCATCAATTTCTTGAAACAAACTGGTTTCCACAACACCCAGGTGAAAAAACTGGTTTTTATGGCACCCAAATTGCTATACCATGATGTTAACAAAACCCTAAAACCCAAATTCCAGTGCCTTATGGATCTCGGGCTATCCGGGTCGGACCTGGCGAAGTTAACCACTAAAGATACAACAATTGTTGAAAAAGGTTTAGTTACTCATTTGAGACCTACCATTGATTTCCTTAGGAAAATTATGGGTAGTGATGAAGATGTAGTTAAGGCTATAAAGAAAAGTTCTTGGTTGATTTCTTTTAATGCTCATCAAATTATGAAGAATAATGTAGTGTTATTGAGAAACTCTGGTGTTTCTGATGTCAAAATAAGAAAACTTGTGCTTATATGTCCTCATTATCTTACACAAAAGCCTGAGTGGGTTAAGGATTTGTTGCATAGGTTGGAGAAAGATTTTCGAATCCCACTTCACTCTCCTATGTTTCCTTATGGATTTCATACATTAGCCGCGCAAAAGAAGTCCAAGTATGAAAACAAGATTGAAATTTTCAAGAGTTTTGGATGGTCTAATGATTATGTACTCATGATGTTCAGGAAGTTACCGTATTGTATTGCTCTATCTGAGGATAAAATTCAGAAAGCATTGAGTTTTTACATGAATAGGCTTGGTTGTGAACCTGCTTACTTGGCTTCTCATCCTTCAATTTTGGTCTTTAGTTTGGAAAAAAGGGTGGTACCTCGGATGCAAGTCTTGAAAATTTTGGATGAAAAGAAGGTTGAGAGGAGAAAGTTGGGTTTCTATTATGCTCTGACCATAACAGAGACAAAGTTTATGGATTACTTTGTGCTACCCTACAAGGATCAGATACCTGATTTGTATGAACAGCTCAACAAAATTGTGGCTCCGTAGTACATTTTGTTTATTTTTGGCACTACGTTGAAGTATTGTTTTCATTTCAAACTTGTTTTGCTTTTTAGTAACCTACTTGCATGTTTTCCAGTGTTGCCAAAGATCATTTCTCTCTTTATGTCTTGTTGCTTTCAGTACGTACACGTTAGGATAACTCAATAGCATACCTTTAGTTCTGAAAAAATGAGAAGCCACAAAGACGGGAAGTCATATATGCCTTTGTTTAGACCAGTGAGCTTCTTTTAGAGAAGAAGTGTTCAGTTTTCAGGAGTTAACTAACTAGGATACCATGTTCGAAATGTGCCTTGTTGTTTAACTCTTATCAGAGGCTACAATTGAGAGGAAGGTAGATTTTCTTCTGAAAGGAATTGGGATTAAAAACCAGAGATGTTGGTTTCTGCTTCCCTTTTCGGGTTATAAGATTGAGTTCAAGAGAACATTATCGTCATCAAAATCTTCAGTTAAGTGAGTCAGTTTTGTTGAGCAGTTTGCGCTGCCTTACAAGGCTCAAATTCCCTATGTGTATCTCACTCAAGAAAATAATGAAAAATTAGTAGTACTTTGGTGAACATTTGTTTTTTTAGATGCTGAAAATTGTATCTGAGTCTTTCAGCCTGGAAATTTTCTTGCAAGTTTTATCAGTTTCATTGCAGTTTGTCCAGACTTCTTATGGCTATAATAGTTTACATAATTCCAGTTTTTACTCAACTCAACATTGTTGTTTAACTGTCTGTTCATTTGCACTGATGAAATATTTAATCTTTTATCATTGAGATCTCTATTATTAAGTGCATTTATTTTTCTCAGACTCATATATACACATGGATATTAAGGTTCACATGGTAGAGTGATAAAGAGCTCCGTAAAAAGCAAAAAGAGACATTCTTTTTGGAACGGTCTAAAAAGAGAACTAAAATTGAAATGAAATGAAAATAGTGAAATTCTTTCACGTGGTACAAACAATTTTTTTAAACAGTAAACGTGTGTTCTTTTTATAATGTTTAGAATGATGGATATAATTTTTTTTTATTGAGTTTTCTATTATTTATTTTAAAAAACTATGATCTAAAATCAAAAAATATGTAATGTAATTGCTAAAGATCCACAAATTGGTGATTGAGGCGTAGATACTCATTGGAGACCTACCATTGATTGCCTTGAGAGAAGTTTAGTTAGTGATGAAAAATAGTTAAGGCATTAAAGAGAAGTTCAAAGTCACTTGAAAGAAATTATAATAATAAGGAAGTCTTACAAATTTATCAAACTCTCTTCGTTTACTTTTAATTATCAGAATCTCACGAAAATATGGAGAGAAAAAAAGCAAAATAATTCAGGATGCAGTATCTATTGTCATTTTACTCAAATTGTTGTTCAACTGTCAGTTCTTTCTCTTGGGAAGATTTTGATCTTAATAATTGAGATCTCAATTATCAAATGTATTTATTTTTTAAATTTCATGTATACACATACAGATATTATCCTACTTTGGCAAAAATATTATTTCCTCAGTCTTATTTTATGTGGCACTTTTCGCATTTCAAGCTTTAAATAAGTTGATTTTTGACCGTAAGTTTTTTTATAAATTCTTTTAACATTTTGAATTATCAATTACTGTGACTTATAGTACTCTTTACGTAGTTTACAAATATATAAATTTCATTTCAAAATAATTAAAAATTTTATATGTAAATATTTGATTAAAATTAAATTATTTGACTTTCAAAAAAATAAAAAATACCACATAAAATGAGACAGAAAGCAATAAAAGCTATGACGTAGAATCCCATCCGGCAAAGAGTCTAAAAAAAATATTACACAGTAAAAAAAGGAAATAAAATTAAAAGAAAAACAGCTTCGTATAGTAGGAACAATTTATTCACGTCAATATATGAATTAAGTTGTATATCTTAAAAATAATTGAAAATCAAATATTTTTTCGAGTATTGGGATAATTCAAAATTATGATACCGATTATGGAAACACTAATCTGAAATGGTGGTTTCTAAAGGCAAGCTGAAATTTGATCAATTTTGAAAATATACAGTGAATTTTCCTTGCAATCCATCAAGCACAGAAAGAGGGACTATAAACCCTAATCCCCATTAGTGCAGAGAGGTCTTGTAAGGGAAATGCTCATCAGATTCAGAGGCAAAGCTGTAGTTGTATCAACTCACTGTCTCATAAATCATTGCAATGGCTTTAGAGACTTCCGTTTCACATCTCAATATCTATACTCATCAACCTCTACACCTGCCCCGACCCATTTCTTGGTGAAATACCTTGTTGATTCTCTCGGATTCTCCGATGAAGAAGCTGCCTCTACATCCTCCAAGGTAACTTCATTGAAAAACTTAAAGAATCCTCATTTAGTCATCAATTTCTTGAAACAAATCGGTTTAGACGACACCCAGATGAAAAAAATGGTTTCTTTAGCACCCAAAATGCTATTATCTGATGTTTCCAAAACCCTAAAACCCAAATTCCAGTGCCTTATGGATATCGGGTTATCCGGGTCGGACCTGGTGGATGTAATTGCTAAAGATTCAAAAATTGTTGAAAGAGGTTTAGATACTCATTTGAGACCTACCATTGATTGTCTTAGGAGAACTTTGGGTAGTGATGAAAATGTAGTTAAGGCGTTAAAGAGAGCTCCTTGGTTGCTTACTTTTGGTGCTCATAATATTATGGAGACTAATATATTGTTGTTGAAAAATTGTGGTGTTCCTGATGAGGGAATGAAAACACTCCTGCTTAGAAATCCTAGGTATTTTGCACAAAAGCCTGAGTGGATCAAGGGTTTGTTGCATAGGGTGGAGAATGATTTTCGAGTTCCGCTTGACTCTCCTATGTTTCCTTATGGATTTCATACATTAGCCTCGCAAAAGCAGTGTACCGTGGATAGGAAGATTAAAATTTTCAAGAGTTTTGGATGGTCTGATAATGAGATACTTGAGATGTTTGGTAAGTTCCCTTATTGTATTGCTCAGTCAGAGGTCAAAATTCAGAAAGCATTGAATCTTTACATTAATGAGCTTGGTTCTGAACCTGCTTACTTGGCTTCTCAGCCATCAGTTTTGATCTATAGTCTGGAAAAAAGGGTGCTACCTCGGATGCAAGTCTTGAAAATTTTGGATGAAAATAAGCTTGAGAGGAGAAAGTTGGCTCTTTATACTATTGTGAGCTTATCAGAGACAAAGTTCATTGATTATTATGTGCTGCCCTACAAGGATCAGATACCTGATTTGTATGAATTACTTGAGAAAACTGTGGCTCCCTAGCAGTTTTAGTTTAACCTTTTTACAATCATATTTTGTAGGCCGATATATATTTGTGTTTCATTTTTTCAGTTTGTATTCTGAAAATTACAGTCGGGGTATCATTTCTGTCCTTGTAAAGGAAAAATATCATCGGAGGTTTGAGTAATAGTCGAGTATTTATTTGCTTCCCATTTGGAAATTCTTCCTGTTCTGATTACGAACTGTTTGCTAATCAATCCATTTTATTGCCACCTGAGCTTTTGTATTTTCTTGTCCTTAATGTGAAGTTGAAGAGTCTCTTTCATTTCATACTTTTTACTCGAAATAATTTGGCACTCCATCTATTCTACAATTACTCTGTGATGTAAACAAAATTCCAATGATTTGGTGTTTTGTGAAAGATATGCCCACTGTGAATGGAGTTGTAGGATGTAGAATTTGTTGTATAAACTCTTCAAAAATTAGTCGGTCATAGATGTGCATTCATGTTTGGTGGCACAGAATACACTCTCCAGGCTTTTAATTAACATAATGCTCAATCTACATTTGTCTAAAGAAAACATAGTTTCTGCCCTTTTGGTGATTGTAAAGCATTATTTTTTCCCATCCAGGTTCCAAGTAGACAGTCTGTGTTGATGAATTAGCTTCTCATTTCCATTTGGGTTCCCTTTTATCAACATCTTTACTTGTATAAAAGCGTCAAATTGCAACACGAAATGTCGATAGACTTTTTTGCCCTCTGAATGTGCACTTGATATTTGCCATATTTATCTAATGTTTTAGTATGAATTGTATTCTATTTTTACTGTCCTTGAGCTGTAAAATCCAATTGTCCTTGACTTGGGTGATGTATGTAACAAGTCAGGATGGTTTTGGACCAAATCTGAACAAGTAGAAGAAACCAGGAACTCTTGCAATGCTGAGTACTGCGAGGGCTATGCAACCTGAAGGCCCTGGAGATGAGCCATTCTTGTTTAGTGAGCCTCAACCACAAGGCAACCGCGGGGGATATCTGGAGAAAAACAACCCAACTCCCACAGCTGGAGCACCTCAAAACACATGAACTCTGAAGTTCTGATCAAGGATTAAGGATTTGTTGCATGACCTAACAACATATCCAGTATGATCTCACGTATACGGTCCGGGAAGGGTGGACTATATAGTAGGTGGTGTGGCTTTTTGCCTTTCTTTTTCTTCGTTTCTATTTCCATTGTGCATCACAAAAGATGACCTTTTTATTTCTATTTCCACTTATCACCTCACCAAATAGTGGATAACAGCAAAAGCTGAACCAATAATAATGTCAAAGGAAATCCATTTTTCCCAGCTGAAACTAACAATATTGGATAACCAACAGAATTTGTAAGCTTCTTGCATGTCAGCCAAAAGTAGTAAGAAAATAGAAAAGCTTCTATTTTCCTATTCTTTTGATGTACAAGTCAGGCAGTTCAGCTTTGATCCGATAGACGAAGTTGCGTATTTGTTAGTATTTTTATAATATAAAGAGTATACAAGAATGAAATTGACTACTTGAAATGTAATTATTTAACAAAAAGAGTTTGTATTTTATTTTTTTTGAATAAATATTTTTACACGCGTAAGGTGATAGTATGATACAATTGAGACTTTTTTTGAATTGTCAAAGTCATAATACTTTATTAAATGAATATGAAGTTGAATAAAAGATTTACCATACCCCAAAATACTAAAATGGAACATAAAAAAAAATATCGATCATACTAAATTAAATTTATATGATAATGATATAATAATTTCAAAAACCAAATATCAAAATTACTCTATCGAAGGCAATTCACATCATACGTAAAGCTATATTCAACTTATATAAAGTTGAAATAATGACATACAAGTTCTGCGTGACATATATTGATTTCAAATTTGGAAAAGGGTCTAAAATATCCTTGAACTATTAGAAATGCTATAATATTACCCTCCATCCACCAATTAGTCCTAAATATCCTTGTTGTCTACCTTTAGGTCCTATAATGCCCTTTATTTTAACAATCTCAATTTAAATCCAATTAATAAATGAACAACTTTCACATATAGCAAACATAAAATTCATATTTGTATGGTATAACAAAATTTGCATAATTGTACTTCATAACAAACATATATATGTATAGTTTGTTATACATATACAATTCAAACGAATTGTATAAATCGATGTGTACAGAAGGAGAAAGAGAAAGAGCTTTGGGCTGAGAATTGTATAAAAAGTGTATAAAACGAAGTATATAAAAAGAGTCGTATAATTATAAGTGTATAGGACGATTATATACAATTTGAATTTGTATAAAACGAGAAAGGGAGAATGACAAAAGAGACTTGGGCAGGGACTATATAATTGAATCGAATTGTATAAAACGAGAAAGAGAGAAATTATAAACAATTTGAATTTATATAAAACGAGAAAGAGAGAAAGATAAAAGAGACTTTTTGACAGGGAAGTACTTTTATTGTATAATTATAAGTGTAGAAGACGGAGATATATGTATTTGCATGTGTATGTTCAGTTTTCTCTCATTTTATACAATTAAAAATACAATATATACAATTCTATTGTGTAAAGCGAGAAATGCGAGCGAAGGAAGTGAGCGAGAGAGGGAGAGTGGCGAGCGAGAACATGAGGGAGAGAGGGACTGACAAACAGTTTGTTATAGAATATAAATAAATTAAACGATAGCTATTATATTTATTTTATATTATTAATTTGTTATTCTATACAACTATCTTTTAATAAATTCATTAATGATGTGATAATTTTCTTTTGATCAGCTTTAAATAATGTAAACTAATTGAAAACCGATTTTTAATAGTTAAAGAATATTTTAAGTCCTTTTTTGATTCAAAATTAGATAGTCAAAAACATATATTTGCCCCTTTTCCATATATGACCAAAATAAAAGTAGGCAATGGTGCTTTTAACATTTTGCTTGTTTGAACCCTTTTCAGTTTCAAGCTTCGGTTCTTCTTCTGAAAACCATGCTTTCTCGAATCTCTAGGTTTCGACATACGGGCAGCTGTGCCTTACCTTCTCTGTTACCAGTAGCTGTTTCCGGGCCTCATTTATCTGAAAACTTTCTCTTTGGTTCAGTTGGATTTTCTAAAGATGATGAAGCAATTTCTACTCCTACCAAGGTAAACTCACTTTGAAAATTTCCTATTTTGGTATCAATAAATTCATTTATATGTAAAATTTGTTGCTATTCCGAGTACAGTAACCCTGAAATCAAGATTTGACTTGTGAAAGGTGCAATCTTTAGATTCTAATGTGATGTTTAAATTAGATTTTCTTAGAGAAGTATTTATTTGTGATAGTAAATGTGGTTAAAGCTAGAGTGAGATGCCCTCAAATGTGCCCCATTGGCAGTGGTCAAAGTCTGGTATTTAAGTCAGAAGGGTAGAGGGATAGGTCTATTTTTCCAAACCGGAGTTTGGAACTACGTGTCTATTGACCGTTGGGAATTCTCAGTTTTCATCATATGATACCAAAATAATCAAACTCAGCATAAGCTGCTATTCTCAGTAAACTAACCCTGATATCAAGATTTGACTTGTGAAAGGTGTTATCTTTATATTCTAATGTGATGCCTAAGTTAGATTTTCTTTGACAAGTATTTAGTGGTGATAGAAAATGTTGTTAAAGCTAGAGTGAAATGAATGTGCCCCTGCACTATGGCAGTGGTCAAAGTCTGGTATTTTAGTTGAGTTGGGTAGAGGGATTTCCACAGAGTTTGGAACTATGCGCCTATTGACCTTTGGGAATTCTAAGTTTTTAAGGAATAAAATTCTGAAATGTTTCTATCATATGATACCAAAGAATCAAACTCACTTTACTTTTTGAGCCAAAAGAGTGCTGAAAATATTGGGTGTAAGGGAGGTGAACACTGAACAAGAAAAGAAGCTATATGGTTGACAATCAGATTTTTACAGGATTTACCTTGCCTTTCTGTACTATATGATAATATGAATGAATAAGAGTCATTAAATGTTGTGTTTGCGACTTCCTTCACATAGCGTTAGAATTCACCTTTTCGTTCTTAATTCGTAAGGATAACACAACCTTCCTGGTTCACCGCTTGGTCATTATCAAATTAAAATGTGCAACTGTTCTAAAGCTGGAGTCTTTGTTGTGGAACCTAGGACCCTTTATTGCTTTGTCTGAATTGTTGTAATATATTGGAATACTTAGCTTTCTTGGCTACTTCTACGCATAGAGTTTCAGTGGTGTATAGTTTGTTTAAATGCTTTCATAACTTGGCCTTTGCTATTACTTCTTTTTAAAAGAAAAAATGGTATTGTAATTTTATAAATATCAGAGTGTCAAGGAGGTAAAGAGTACAAATAGTAGGACTGTGTAAATCTACATAATAAAGGAGTCTAACAAGTCCATAAACTCTGTCCAGTTAGTTACAAAAATCATTTTGTACCAACATAATATATTCTGATGCATGTATACTTGACGAAAAATATACATTTTTTTCCCTAAAATATATCTTCTATCCTTTCAATCCACACTTACCAAATGATGCATAGAGTAATGAATTTACATACTTTGTCTTCAGCTTCTTGTTGACATTTCGTGCCTGCCAGACTTCAAGTAAACCATTCAAAGAAAACTACGTTTGGTTAGTTATACTACTTTCCTCTATATCAGAAGAAGTCCTCTAATTGAATATATTAGTAGAAACCTTACCAACAATAAGTTGATGAGTAACACTGTTGAAAGTATGAGAATTTTAAACTTTACTTTTTCCATAACCGAGAAACCATCGGGGGCTAGTTGTGCACCGTTTGAACTCCACGGATAGTGAGCCTGCCAGTGCCTTCCACTGTCCCACTTTTTTTGTTTTCTTTTTTGTTTTGTGTCTTCTATTGCTTTTTTTTTATCATCAAGAACTATTTTAAACATTTACTGTGCATGTCTAAGAATTTATAGTTACTGAATTACTTTTTTTTTTTATATAAGAAGAATAGCACTAGAAATTCTTAGACAGACTACAAATGTAAAATAAAAATATTTAAGAGAATCGCAAGTCAAATTATCTGAAATTGACTTTGAGTTCTCTGTTGTGGAATAATATTTCATATACTCATTGTAATGTCACAACTTCAAATGATTTGTTTTTAGTAATATTTGCCTGCTATTTAGATACTCCTTGTAACACGTTGACTTAAAATGCTTGTTATTTCAGTAAACATAAGAGTTTAAAACTTAAAAGTAAAAGAAAGGGAGGTTAAATGTTTGTAATTAATATGATACTTTGTTGTTTAACACTGTAATTCATGTTAGGGTTCTTGTAATTTTTTAACGGGAGGTCCCTTGAATATTTTCGATCTAGAGAGGACTTTAGTGTAATTGACTCCAAAAGCTTGCACAAGTGAATTTCTGTGAGTAAGCCATTGTTGTTCTTGAACTACCATGTATCCCTTATGCTTCATCACTTTGTAATGCAATTTGTACATTTACGTCTTCATTTTAAATGTTTCATCAATTTTGTGTTCAGAATTTTTTTCCCCAATGGTTTCAGTTTCCCTCTGAATAAACTATACATATATTATTATTTTTTGATTGGTAGAAAATTCTATATTATTTATTGCTCATGAAACCTTTCTTGTTGTGAAGTTTGATCTCCCGTATATATGGTTCAAGGAGATACATGTTTGTCCTCTCCAAGTAAAAAGTGATGTTCCAATACAGTACCCCTTGTTTCATGGTCTAAAACAGCTTGTTTGTATTATATTATTGTCATTGTCATTTATCAATGTTTGTGCAATGTTGTCTAATGAAACTGTGCTTCTTAAATATTATAAGTTTTGGTACATTGGCATTTGGCAGCTGTTTTTCATTAGTGGATCATGGTCTCAGTTTTGCTACTCAACAAATGCGTCCGTTCACACTCAGAACCCTCTCTTGTCGAACTACCTCATCAAATCACTGGGATTCTCCAGATATGAAGCAAATGTTGTAGCTGCCAAGTTGAACAGCGTGAAAGTACCTAAGAATCCTGATTTGGTAATCAAATTCTTCCAAGAGATGGGTTTAGAACGGACAGAGATCAAGAAATTAGTTTCTATTACACCGAGACTGCTTTTTTCTGATGTAAACAGAACCCTTAAACCCAAGTTTCAGTGTCTGCGAGAAGTGAGGGTATCTGGATCTGACCTAGTTGATCTCTTCCTAGCAGACGGAAAAGCTTTGTATAGTGCAGTAGGTTCTCATTTGAGGTCTAATTTGGATTTTCTTAGGAAACTAGTTAGTAATGAGGAAACTTTGGTTAAACTTATAAAGAGGTCACCTTATTTACTTGCTTTCAATGGTCCAAAAATATTTGAACCCAAAATATTGTTGTTGCAAAAATCTGGCTTTTCAAATGCCCAGATCGAGAAACTTATACTTCTGAAACCACGTATACTTCAACAAAAATTCGAGTGGCTGGAGAAGATATTACACAAAGCTGAAAAGGATTTACAGATTTCTCCCACATCTGGAATGTTCATGTACGGAGTTCTTGCAGTTATCGCACTAGGTAAGTCAACAGTGGAAAACAAAATGGGAGTTTTCAGGAGTTGTGGATGGTGTGATCAGGATATAATGACTGTGTTCAGAAAGCAACCCCTCTGTTTGGCTATGTCAGAAGCTAGAATTCTGCGAGCATTGGACGTTTTCACGAGGGTAATCGGATGCAAACCAGAATACTTGATTAGTAATCCTGCGCTTCTAATGCTTAGTCTGGACAAGAGAGTGATTCCTAGAAATCAAGTACTGAAAGTTTTAAAGGAGAAGAGGCTGGTTCAGAAAGTATCTTTTTCTCGAGCTATGTATATATCTGAACCTATGTTTCGTTCAAAATTCGTGCTTCCTTACAAGGATGAGATACCTAATCTATATGAGTCATATGTGACATGTGTGAGACGTTAGAGTCACGATGATCAGTCAAATGAGGTGCGATTTTCATCTTTATGGTTCATACTTGTGATCTTTCAGTCAAATGAATTTTGTTTCTTCAGGCCTTTCCTGTTTTCTATTGAAGTCACAGCTATTAGTTCCCCTGCAGTGTCATAATTTCATTTTCTCTGTCCATTCTGCTTATATGCATTTGATCCTTTGAATTTCCGGACTAAGCATGAATTGAACAGTCTTGTTCTCACTATATACGACTCATTGAATCTTCTGGTTATTGTTTGCTCTCCGTGTTATCTAACTTTTCTTCTGGGCAGAATGCTTGTTTATCGACTCTATATAGACTGCAGATTCAACAACTAGTTGCAGCATGTAAAGAGGTTTATTTGAGCAACTGAGTCTGCATTACTCTTTGTTGAAGATGGAGTTGCACAATTCTTTTGCATTACAAGACTTGGCAACAGCTAGGTAGGTAATAGAGGGACACAGATTCTTAAGTTCCTTTTTGGCTTCCCATCCTGTGTCCGGTACCTACATTGGTTCTTACTAAATCTGGATTTACATCGGGAATGCTAGAATAATACTGCACTCAATACAATGAGATGGCATTAGGATTTGTTTTGGATGAATTCTCATGTATAACCTAATGGTTGAAGTTACATCTAATATCTTTAATACTTGGTAATTGTGAAAGTTGTAGACATTGTATAACCTTCTAAGTTGAAAGAGAGTCATGTAATTTATTATTTTTCTAAAAAGAGTAAATTTTATTTGTTTAGTTAAGAACAAAACATTTTATTATTTATTTTGAGCTTGTTTTTTAGCTTGAAAAAAGACTTCCATTCTTTCTTTTTCATATTTCTTTTGTAATTTTGAAATATCAAAATGATTTGCACCTTCTATAAAAAATGGATTTCAAATCTCTTTTCTTTTTTATTTTTTAACCATATGCTCAATCAAACACATCTCATAATTATGAATAGCTGACTATACAAATTATGAAAGATCATATTTAAGTGAACTCATAAATGGGTAAACTTAAACAAATGAATTGGTATTCATGTTTATTCGTTAGAAAATTTAGAGATAATTCATTACTTTATTTTTATCATTTCTCAAAATATGAATTCTTGCTATAATAAAAAAAATATATATAATAAAATTATTACTATTTCTTTATTTGATTACTGAGCAAATTATTGGAATTTTTTTTAAATTCGATACAAATTTTTAGTTTCATTCTCAAATTATTGATAATTTTCTTTTTGACTAACCGAGCTTAAATAATTACAATCTTGAAACATGAGTGGTAATGCAAATTAAATTTGCTCAAGTTTTAGGAATGCGTTCAACACTTTTACTTTTTATTAAGAGTCTCGTGTTACTGTCAGAGATTGAAACTATAACTTTTTGCCATTTCATGTGATAGGTCAGAGTATATTTGAATTTAATTAGTTAAATAGAAATATGTTTTTAAAATGGTAAATAATCATGTGGCAAGTTAGAGTATATTTGAATTTAGTTAGTCAAATAGAAAAAATTATATTTAAGACGGTAAAAATTTGTTGGATAAAATTACTCATTTTATCCACTTTTATTTGTTATGTTACGCTCTTTGAAAGTTATTTTAATGTTAGTCAAAAAATGCATCTTAAAATGTTAAGTCAAAATTTTTGTAGTTTAACTTTAAAAATAAAAATTATGACAAATAATATTGGATGACGACAAACAATACGGGATGAAGGGAGTATTAAAATTTTTCGAAATAGACAGTGGACTGCAGTACTGGTTTGGAGTTTGTTCAATTTCTTCCTAACTGTCCAGTCTCCATTGTTAACTATGCTAACTCGAATAACTCGTACCGGGATTCATGCTAATGGAGTCAAGAATCCACTCGTTTTCTCCATCGACAACTTCAGATTTGTCCTTCACTGCTCCACCAGTGCTGCACCAACTCATTACTTGGTGGACCTTCTTGTTGATTCTCTTGGGTTTTCAAAAGAAGAAGCAGTTACAACAAGCAGCAAGGTAATCCGTTTGAAACCCTCAAAAAACCCACAATTTGTAGTCGATTTCTTTCAAAAAAATGATTTTGATAATACCCAAATCAAGAACATTGTCTCCAAATCCCCTAAAGTACTATTCTCTAATGTAGACAAAACCCTTAAACCAAAACTCGAGATTTTACAAGAAATTGGCCTTTCTGGGACTGACTTATATAAGTTTATAATTGAGAATGATTTGTTTTTCAGCAAAGGTTTGGATACTTTTATTAGACCTTCCCTTGATTATCTTAGAAATTTATTGGGTAGTGATGAAAATGTTGTTAAGATCATAAAAAAGAGTTCTTGGTTACTTAGATGTCATGTTACCAAGACAATAGCACCTAATGTGTTGTTGTTACATGATATTGGGCTTTCAGATGAGAAAATTAGGAAGTTTATATTGCAGAACCCAAAGCGTATAACGCGGAATCTTGGATGTCTTAAGGATGTTATTCATAGAGTGGAGAAAGACCTTGGAATCCCTCGTGAATCACGTACATTCTTCAATGGAATTGCTGCCATTGTTACTTTCCGTCAGTCAACTTTGGCAAAGAAGATTGATGTTTATAAAAGTTTTGGTTGGTCTGATGAACATATAAGAACCATGACCAGAAATTATCCTTCCTGTTTGAGTTCCTCAGAGGTAAGAATCTGTAAACAGTTGACTTTTCTCATGAATGAAGTTGGCTGCACGTCAGAGTATTTAGCATCTCATTCTCGTCTGCTTACGCATAGTTTAGAGAAGAGAGTGATTCCAAGATATAGGGTCCTGAAAATTTTAAATGAAAAACATCTCAAAAAAGGTGTGGGTTTATTCACTGCTGTTAGCATGACGCCATCAAAGTTTATGGAAGTACTTTTGCTGCCTTACAAGGATAGAATACCCATTGCATATGAAGCATACATGAAAAGTGTCGGATGAAATAGATTATATCAGTTTCCACTTGTTGAGGTAAACAATTTCTTTATGGCTGTTATCTAGTATTCTTATTCTGTTTTTGTTATTGCTGTAATTTTATTTTCTTGGTTCCTTTTTAAAATTAGGGACTATGTCTGTTTGACTTGATGCTGTATTGCCATTATCTGATAGTGCAATCCGAAATGAAAACGTATTCTTTGTTGAAGCCATTGGTAAGTAAGGTAGGCTACCATCTACCCATATTGACAAAAAGCCTGAACTAGTAGAATTCATTGAGGTGTGTTTCAATCTGGCTTTACTCAAAAGGATCTTTACTTCCTCTTCCTTTCTAGCCTCCTGTTTTTTTGTTTGTTTTTTTTCATTTATATTCGAGACTCGAGAAAAATCACCAAGGACCAATGACGCATAGCTTGGAACTCAGTTGATAACGGATATTTTTATGAGTTTGATGTGTTGCTTTTGAAAATGCCTGATAGTATGAATCGAGTCGGGAAATTTCACCCATTAAGTAAAGATCCTTGTGTTGCTTTTGAAAAGGCATGATAGTATGAATGTCATTTTACTTTTTGCTGTTGATATATCGTATTGTTGCTTTTCAAATTATGTGAAGCATAAAAAGGACAATTTGGTGCACTAAGCAACTACTATGCTTAGTTTCGGGGACTCTTTTTGATTCGCACCCGTCTCGGATTCTCCGAAAATACACTACTTTTTGCGAAATTGTCGCACCCGTTAGCGTTTCTGAAGAGTCCCGGCAACATAGCTACTACATGTGGGGTTGGGCGAAGGGCCAAACCATAGGTTTCTATTGTCCACAACCTTATCCGACATTTCTACAAGAGGTTGTTTCAAATCCTGAATCCATAACCTTCAAACAAGATTTTTCTTTTTATCTTTTTTTTTTTTTAATTTTAATTTTAATTTTAGTTGGTATTGCTGATTGTTGATTCTGTATAGATAATTGTGGCATGTTGTAGTTAAAAGTTAAGGTTGTTTTACACCTTTCTTTTTGGCATAATCAGATAAAACTAGAGATGCTAAGGAATCCCATAAGATTCATTTGTGATGAAAGATGCTACAACAAAAAAAAAAAAAAAATTCAGTGTAATTCTACAATTGGGGTCTAGAGAGATTAGCATATACGCAGACCTTAGCCCTATCCTTTGTGAGGTTGAGAGGTTGTATCTGCTAGACTCAAAATAGAAGTTCCTGAAGAGGGTATCAAGAAAATATGACAACAAAATAGCGAGATGACAAAGTGAATGAAGCAACAAATAGTAATATATATTGAAGAACCAGATACTATGCTACGGCTAAGTAGCCCCTGAGCATTCCTACATAAAGTGCGATAACACTCGGGTACTTACTAGCCTTCTATTCTAATCCTCGACCTCCAGATCTTCCTATCTAGAGTCATGTACTTAGTAAGCTAAAGTTGTGTCATGTTCTATCCGGTGTTATCAAAGGCGCGCTTTAAGCACGCTTAAGCCCTGAAGCGAGGGTCAAAACGTGTTGAGCGCTTCGCCTCGCTTTATGTGCGCTTCAGTGTCGTCATAAAGGTGTCGTCATAAAGGTGGCAAGCTTTTCCTTGCCAATGAGCCTTTATTAAGAAGTGAAACTAAATAATTGATATTTCGCTTAACCATAAACTTTTTTCAATTTCTTTGGTCATATATTTGTCATTCATGTTATTAGTATTAGTCTTGGACTAAACATATATATTATTTGTATTCTTTTCTCCTTTTGCGCCTTTTTTAATTAAAGCCCACACTTTATTCGGGGTTTGCGCTTAAAGCCCCATGGACATTGGAATTTTTTTGCGTTTTTCGCCTTTTATAACACTACTTCTATCTTATCACCTCTGCTGGTTCTTTTTTGGCCCATCTCTACCTATCCTAACTCTCTATTATGTCCACTCTCTCACACCTCCTTACTGGCACATCCGTGCCCCTCCTCTTTGCATGCCCATACGATCTCAGTTTGACTTTCTCAATTTGTCCACCACAAAGGCCATTCCGACTTTGACCCATATAACTTCGTTTTTAATCATATCTCTTAGTATGTTCACACATCCATTTGAGCATTCTCATATCCACTACCTTCATCTACTGAACGTTTGTGTTCTTGACTGAAAAATACTCTTCTGCATGCAAAAATGTTGGTCTAACCACCACTTTGTAGAACTTATCTTTAAGCCTTGACGGCATTTTCTTATCATCCGCTCCAATATGTTCGAATTTCGTCAATCTCCCCGTCTCCTTGGATTGTTGACCCAAGCTACTTGAAACTTCCTCTCTTGGGTATGACTTGTGCATTGATCTACACTTCCACCTCCCCCTTATGCGCTATATCACTAAACTTGCACTCCAAGTAATTTGTTTTAGTCTTGCTAAACCTGAAGCCTTTAGATTCTAGGACTTGTCTCCAAACTTTCAGCCTATCGTGAACTTTCACAACTCATCTGATGAAACATGCTACTTAAAAGAAGTATAGTGAGAAAAGGATGTCAGTTGTGCTATGCATAGTTGTGGTATAAAAATCAGTGCGTAAATAATGCAGGTTCTTCTATTACGTGATAAATGCAAATGACGTCGGGATGCAGAAGTCCCTATGCTTCTTTTTGTTTTCTAATAAGCAGCATGCAGTTTGAAAATAAGACGCGTCTTTCTTGCTTATGTATTTATATTTCATTATCTCAGGACAAAGTATTAACTAGTAATACTCTTCTGATCCTAAAATATGTTTCCCCGTTTCTTATCCGTTTAGGTTAGGAAGCGTCAGCTAAGTTCATTAAGTCATGTTAATCTCTTATAGGGATCCAGCTAGGGCGTTCACACCAAGGCTCATATTGAAGAGACGGTATTGAAAGCCATGGGAGGTTCCAATTGAAGACCAAGATCCTTTCTGGAGATGTGTAGGTACCAAGATGGACTGAAATTGGAACTCGTTGGACCAAATTTAATAATGATTGTGACTGCTCAAGTATGTTGATCGCCCAGACATGCACAGTTGGCCAGATTTTTTATGTTGCTCAATATAAGACACAATTCATATATCCTCATGCGCTTGCATATGGTCTTGGCATAGGAACGATTTGAGCTCATAGCATCGGGATAAATGCAACCTTGTTGTTCTTGTTCAACACCTATGGTTGCGGCTGAAGTAGAGCCAAACTCGTGTTAATCATTCTAACCTGATGTAGTTTGATAAATCTAGTAGGTTTCGTCTTATTTCACTTTGAATGGATTGCTTGAAAATAAATTGTTTACCATATTGGAGACCTTGTATAAGTTTCTTGTTTATCCAGCCTTATTCCACTCCCCACATATCAGTTTTACTATCATTTGAACTGCAGGTAGATCAATTCTGTAACAAGAAAATAGCATCCAGAAAGATAAAATTGGCCTATGCTATGCATTGGTATTTTACTCATCGAGATGCACACAAGTTAGCTCGTAAATGGATTAAAATTTGCTGCTAATTTTACATTGAGACTTTACCTTCTAGGAAAAAGAAAGCAGATCTAATCAGACTAGTTCCCCTTCACTCCTAACTTTCACTAGTAGTAGTACTAGTTGGCAGCTTGTAGCTCAAGTTTTTTTCTAATTGGAATTTCTTTACGTCTTTTAAGTTGTTAATTCTTATAATTTATAATAGTAGTAGTACTACCTCGACCATTTAAACGAGAGAAATAAATAATAACAATAACAAAATAGTGTGATAATTGAAAACACAATATATCACACACAGACAAAACTACAAAAGTATGAATATTGTTACGACATGCATTAACAAGCCTAAATCTACGTCCAATGAATAAATTGAAATATAAAAAATAGTAATAAATAGTTTTTAGTTTTATTTTATAGGAAAATCACAAAAATAAAATCTTTTTCTATCATCATCAACAATTGGGCCAAACCCGACCCAAATTCATCATCTTCTAGAGTTGTATTTCTCTTCTTTTTTTTATAACAGTTGTAAAATTGAGAAGATATACCTAATTTTAATCCCAAAAAATAATACTCGTTGAAAGTTGAAATCCAATAATGCTTAGAGCTTAAGGAAACTGCTTGTTGTCATCGACATTGAAAGCTTTGTCCGCGTTCCATTTGGCTTTATATGCATAGCGGAGCAGGTTCACTTTTCTGTGCTTTCATCGGAAACAAATATTTTATTTACTACTTCTTCATCAGTTTTGATCTTTGATCTCTTTTTCTTTTCTTTTTTTGAAAAATAAAAAAGGTATTCTTTGCTTTAATCTGAAATACTTTTGTGGTTTTAGGTAAGTGATAATTCATAAGGTTTTGTTGCAAGAATTTTAAAGGGTATACGGATATTGAAGATCTGAATCAAGTCTATAATGGATTCTTTCTTCAGCAAAGGTTTCAAAGCTGCCAAATGGTAATCATCAGTTTCCCACTTTTTTGTCATATTTTAAAGGTTCTTGTCAGATTTTATGATTAGGGTCTTTTTAGTTGAGGGTTCTTATGATGCAGATTTGAAATTTTGTATTGTTGAAATCATGGGGTTTTGAGTTTTTCAATTTTTTTGAGAAAATTTGAGGGAAAAATCATGTCTTTTTTATATGGAAATTTGCTGATGGTGTCTATCAATTTGCAGTAAAACCATGTTGAAATTGACAATTCCTCGGATCAAACTACTGAGGAATCGTAGGGAGTTTCAGCTGAAGCAGATGAGGAAAGAAATAGCTAAGCTTCTAGAGACTGGTCAGGAAGCTACTGCCCGAATTCGGGTATAGGCTGAATCTTATTTTGCTTAAATTCATCGATTTATGCTGATATAATTTGTGCTAGGCTGTGTGTTCTTCCCATTTGAATACTGAAAGGTTATTATGTATTTTGATAGATGGTTTTACAGAGTAATGAGCTTGACTCTGATGTTTGCTTATTTAGGTAGAGCATATTATAAGAGAAGAGAAAATGATGGCAGCGCAGGAGATTGTTGAGCTATTCTGTGAGCTTATATCGGTTCGTCTTCCAATTATTGAAGCACAAAGGTAATGAGTTATGTCTGTTGTGTTAATGTTCTTGATATTCTATATGGTGTGAATATTTACAGTATCGTAACATGGTTCTTCAGTTTATAGATGAGCAACTGAATATGCTTTTAGTTGCTCTTAGGATAAAGAATGTATGGGGCGAATGGCAAAGAATATAAAAGGGTTCCTTTATGATGCATTAGATGATCACCTATGATATCTTGGCGAAGTGCCTAAAGAACAGCATTTTTGGTTTTCGTGGTTATTTGATTTTCTTGACACCGTTAGCAGATGTAAATCCCAGCTGTAAGGTTGGCCTACTTGTAGTATTGCCTTTTAGCTTATTTTTCTTCTTCCATCTTCATAAGTAAAGTATATTGTCATCTTGTGTAGTTATGCTGGTCATGTGTATCTTTATAGCTGTATTGTGCTCTACAACAATAGCTCCATTTAACTTTACTCTAGCTGCAAAAAGTCAATAAACTGGGTTACACCTGATATAGACTAGGATAGTCAGCTGAATGAGGTTTAATGATTATAAAAGGCAGAAATGCTAGAGACCTCCCGATCTTGTAGCTTTTTATTTAGTGAATACCTAAACTATCACTCATATGAAATATCCTCGGAACTTGTTTTTCTAACCGTCGCATATGCTCTAAAACAATAGATCCATTTAACTTTACTCTAGCTGCAATAAGTCAATAAACTGGGTTACACCTGATATAGACTAGTATAGTCAGCTGAATGAGGTTTAATAATTATAAAAAAGCAGAAAGGCTAGAGACCTCCCGATCTTGTAGCTTTTTATTAGTGAACACCTAAACTATCACTCATATGAAATGTCCCCAGAACTTGTTTTTCTAACCGTCGCATACACCAGTTTAATAATAATAAAAAGGCAGAAATGCTAGAGACCCCCCGACCTTGTAGCTTTTTATTCAGTGAATACCTTAACTATCACTAATATGAAATACCCCCGGAACTTATTTTTTCAACCGTTATATACACCTACAACGTCCACCTGGCATAGAAACTGACAACAAGCTCGGCTAGGCGCGTGAGGGAGTAAATATTTTGCCGCATCATATTACTTCAATGGTGAGAAACATTAAAAATTCTTGTTTCTTTATTTTTTTCCTTTTTTGCACAGCATCTCTCTTAATTCTCTTCCTATTTATTCTCCCTAAACCCTTCTTCTCCATCACTTTCAATTTTCTGAAATTCCTATCTTTTCCATCATTTTCTTTCTTTGCCTATAATTTATCTCTCCTCCGTCTTTCTAAAGTTGCAATTAATGAATCCATGAATTATAATAGGATGCTTGTTTCTGCATGTGGGTGTCCTCCGTTTGTGAGAATTTCATGGTCATATGACTACTCCGGACGTTACTGGATTGAAACTGACCAAGGCTATTCGAGGAAAAACAAACAAAAATACATTTTAAGAATGGATAATCACTTACTTGATAAGAATTTCAGGCAAGGTCGGAGAAAAATCCACTCAAATAAAAAGCGTCACCCAAATGGACTGTACTTTTGTGGAGAAAACGTTCAAATAGAAGAGCCAGAAATGTTCAAAATCTACCCTCATCTCTGACTGTTAAACTTCTTAGTATTTGATTATTTAGAAAGTATTTGTGTGAAAGAGAAGATCGGGTAATTAGGGTTGATTTGTGTGAATTGGGGAATTATATAAAAAGCTTTTGAAAAAGGGTATATATTAGAGAGGGTGGGGGCATTATTTATTTATGTGGACATCCACATTTGTCATATTTTTACTGTGTCACGTGCGTGTATACATGATTGAGGGATCTAAACGTCGTAGGTGTACGCTACGGTTGAAAAAAAAATATTCCAGGGGTATTTAATACTTTAATACGAGTGATAGTTTAGGTGATCACTGATTAAAAAGCTACAAGTCAAAAGAGGGGGGGGGGGTCTTTGGCATTTCTTTTCATAATAAAAGTAGTACTGTCTTCCTTGCTTGCCTCTGGCCTTTGCTGACTATGCTGCTGTTTTAACATTTAGTTCCATATCTCCTTCAATACCAAACTTTCAGATCTACTATACTCCACCCTAGACCTTAGCTGTTGTTTTGTGAGAATTATCTGCACAAGATATGAATACTTTTTCATGGAGCGGCTCTAGTTCAATTAATGAATCACAATCCTTTAATTTTCTTAATTTCATGTATTCTGAAAAGAAGTTACCAACTTTTAAATGTCTAGGTTGTAGGTCGATTAAATGGATGTATGTGCATGTATCTAAATCCGAGCAGAAGCATGTTTGATCCTTTTGCATAAAGTCAATTTAAGCCAAACAAAGATTAACTACTTTATTTTTCTGCTTATATGACCGTGAAGTATCTTGGGCATAGAATAAACAATACATTCTTGCTTGTGTTATGAGAGTGTGAAATCTTGAAATAATTTGAACATCGACATGAGACCATATATGTGGATCTCTAGTTCCAAGATGGACCCAAAGCGCTTCATCTTCGATATTTGTCTAAAAGCAAACTGATACTCTTGAACTTGACTGTCCAGCAATGTGGAGGTTTTCTTTCCAATTCTTTATATTCTAGACTTCCAGTTGAATTTTGTTGATAATTTTTCTTACTTGAATATTTGGAAAGAGCTGAACCCCCAAACTCTATAATGTCCAGGGAATGCCCTCTAGATCTGAAAGAAGCTATTTCAAGTGTTTGTTTTGCTGCACCAAGATGTGCAGATCTTCCGGAACTGCTGCAGGTTCAGCTGATGTTTGCTGGTAAATATGGGAAGGAATTCATTACTGCTGCTACAGAGCTCATGCCAGAATGCGGAGTCAATCGCCAGGTGACCTTTGTTCTCCTTTATGCCATAACTAAACCAGAAAGAGAAACTGTTTCTTGTTTCTTGTTTCTGATTTTACTCTTTCTTTTTTCTTGTCTCTGACAGTTGATAGAGTTGCTGTCTATTCGAGCTCCTGCTCCTGATGTGAAAATGAAGCTGCTAAAGGAAATTGCGGAGGAGCATCAGCTAGATTGGGATCCAAGTGCTTCTGAAACTGAGCTGTTGAAGTCACATGAGGACTTGCTGGTATATTTCAGTCTGTACTGGCTTTGATTTTGTCCTCTTTTCAATCATCATGATTTCTTTCCTTTGCTTTGCAGAATGGGCCCACACAATTTGTCAGTGGAGCTAAGGTGCCACTTCCCAAAGAAAGGTTTGATGAGGTGCAGCACTCTGCATCAGATCAAGTCTTCGATAAACAAACGGAATCTGAGGCTGATTTTGACTTAGATTTTCCAGAAGTCCCTAAGCAGCCACTACGACCTAGCACTGGTGGAGTTTCAGCCCCTGAAATGCTGCCTTTCCCAGCATCTGCACTATCTGACTCCGATGAGGAGGTAGGCAAGCCTTCTGAAGACGGTGAGCTCAAATCTCACAAACAAGATGTGGAGCGAGATGAACTTTTGCAAGAGAAGGTAGTTTCAAAAGATTTTGGATCAGCTGATAGTGTATCTGCACCGGAAGAAGAGAAACAGTTTTTGCCATTCATGGTTCCCCCGCCAAAATCATCTCCACTCCCCTCTACAGAAAGTACCACAATCCAAAGTACTCAGCCTCCCTCTGCTACAAAGACCAAAGTTGAGACTGATGTGGATTTGCAAGATGTATTGGCTGCTGCCCAAGCAGCTGCTGATTCAGCCGAACGTGCAGCAGCTGCTGCTCGCTCAGCAGCTAGCCTTGCTCAGGTTAGAATCAGTGAGCTTACCAGGAAAAGGAGTGAAGAGGTGCCTGTAAGTCCCAGTGAAAACCCCTTTTATTCTGAGAAACAAGAATCTCACATCCTAGAAAAGCCTAACTTAGACCTCCAACACCAATCATCAAACTCCGATGGTATCCCCAGCCCACTTCATGGCAGTCCATTGGAACATCAGGTGTCGAATATTCCTTCATATGATGATTCAACAGTAGGTGTTGAGTCTCCCATCTCCCATATTCATCATCCTGGTCAGGGTCTTCACCAACCACAGAGATTGCCTTCCATGGACGATGAGACATATTATTCTTATCCCAACCTGTTTAATGCAACAAATGGCTCTAATCCCAGTTCTCGTTCACAGTCGTTCAAAGATAATATCAGGTCTAGTCATGATAAGTGAAGTGTATTTCTCTACCCTTCTGCAGGCTCTGGTTTTTGTTGATTGTGAGTTTTGAGATTCTCCTGTTTATTCTTATTATCCCTTTGGTCTGTAGTACATTCAATGGATCGTTGTATGTTAATGAGTATGCAGTTCATGAATTTGCATGTAAGAAATTTTCTTTGGAGTAAAAAATAATGACAGAGAAGTTCAAAAGTATAAATAAGCAGACCTTGTACTCATATCAGAGCGTCTGCTCTAAATCTGAATCGTCAGAAAGAGCCCAAAACTTGTGCATGTAGTGGCAAAACAAACTCTGCAAGTGGCCTAATTGCTGAAATATCTGCCATTATCTTGTAGCAGGAGGGTATGATAATAACCGCAAGAGAATGTGAAGCACTATTCTTTGATTTTAAAATCCAAAATCTTGTAAATAACCTTGTCAAATTGATAGCATTTTCAATGTCACTGAAAACAAGAGTCTGCTTGACAGTAGTTTAACTGTGCTGGACAATTTTAAAACACTTAAACTACTAAGCCTATGTGCAACTTGTCGGGGCATGGATTTGGAATTTCCTGTCGGTACAAATTTGTATGCACTATGTAACAGACACACTTCATGGGCTTACAACTGGAGATTTTCATTAAATTTCACAAAGAAAAACTTTCACAAGGTCAACAAAAATAAAGAGTTCCTAATGATTTGATATTCTTTACTTGGAGCAGTACGAGGTCGGTCACCTTGGACCCGATAATTCAACTGCATGTAAATTCTCTGTCGAGTCAACAAGCCAATCAGAACCAGGATGTGGTGCAAGTTCCACTTCCTGCCGGAGAACTTCTACCTTCTGCCACTCATCCCATCTTTCAGCCAAACCATCACCTTCAAGCATTCTCACCACTTCCGACATCTTAGGCCGATCCATTGGGTTGCTTTGTGTACAAAGCAATGCTACCTGGATCAGTTGCTCCACCTCAGCCTCCACATATTTGTTCTGAAGATCAGGGTCAACCAGCATTTCCAGTTTCTTCTCTTTGAGGAGTCCTTTCACCTGAAACAAGAACCTCAACAAGTTTAGTCATAGACTTAAATATTCCTGCTAAAGGCACAAATACTTATTAGTCAGCTAGTGTTGTGATGTACAGATTAAAAAATGAACACATTATGGTACTCGTGTCATGTTCACATGTAAAGCAGGTATGACAACATACCCAGTCAAGCAACATGACATCGTCATCATTTGCCAGCCGAGCAAGATCAAAAGCACGTTGGCCGGTGATTAGCTCCAGAAGCATGATCCCATACCCAAAAACATCAGTCTTTTCTGAAGACTTCCCTGTGGAAAGGTATTCTGGAGCTATATGCCCGATTGTACCACGCACAGCAGTTGTAACATGTGTATCCTTGTAGTCCATAAGTTTAGCCAAACCAAAGTCTCCAACAACAGCCTCAAATTCTTCATCTAGCAATATATTTGCAGCCTTCACATCACGATGGATAATCTTAGGGTCACAATGATCATGCAAATACGATAATCCCCTGGCAGACCCCAAAGCAATACGTTTTCGCGTTGGCCAATCAAGTGGTGGTTCAGAAGGCGGTCGTTCTGATAAAATAAATTATGTTGTCAAGAGAATACAATACAAATTATACTTCTACCTTTTAAAAAGTTACAGGAAAATAACTAACAAGAATATGTTTTGTTATAAAGAGTAAGTTATGCCAAGATAGAATGTTAACCAGCGAAAGACATTCTTGCATTATGCAATAATACCCTCCAAATTAAAGGTGAGAACATTTATGGAGTGATAGATTTCAGAAAGTGTCACCTCTCAGGCATGATGCAACACTTCCATTCGCCATGTAGGGGTAGACAAGCAGTCTTTCAGTTGGTGTCATACAGAAACCACGCAATCGTAGAAGATTCCTATGCACTGCCATGCTAATCATCTCAACTTCTGTTTGAAATTGCAACTCCCCTCCAGGAGTACGCTCTTCCTTTAGCCGCTTAACAGCCACCAATGATCCATCTGCTAAGCGTCCTTTGTATACCTTACCAAATCCACCTCGACCCAGTATATTTTTATTGCTAAAACTGTCAGTTGCAACTTGTAGCTCTCGGAGGGAGAACCTTTTCAGTTGACCTAAGTGAACTTCAGGATCTTCTTCGGCTGCAATAAGTTTAAGCAAAGACGTTAATTATGGAGCCAAAAAATAAAACATGCAAGAGAAACCATAAACACGTGAGAGAGTAAGTAGGAGTTATGGACTTATGGTTGGGTATTTGAATACTGCTAACCTGGTACGTCAAAGAAATATTCTTGTGGCTTTCTACGGCGCCACCAGGCAAATGCAATGGCAGGAGCAGCAAATAGTAGAGCAGCACCAGCAGCTACACCTCCAGCAATTGCTCCAGTTGCACCATTTCCTCCTGAAGTTCCCATAAATTTGATTAATTTCCTTCATATGATCTAGACTATATTTAACACATAATTTTGGCCGGCCCTTCATTAATTAAATCACTTCAAAAAGAAATTAGTAGACAAATTTGTATCTATCATCAGATCTAATTTCCAGGACAGTTTTTACAAAGAAAAGAAAATCTTCACAAGTTCTGGCATAAATATGATTAATTTCATTCAGACACATGACTTCAAATACCACAGATAATAATTTACAAGGGGACCAAAGAAAAGATGTCCACAATGCTGAATTAAATTTGTATAAAGACCAGAATGCTTAGAGACTAAATGTAGTCTCGTGCATACCAGTTTCCCATCAGAACTAATGCCTGACTAGTTAAGATGGGTTTTCCTCTTCTGCCCCCTTTCTTGTCAGTACTTTAGCTTCTATAGCACAAATTCTCACTTACGTTGGATGGACAAACTAAAATCACTAACCGCAAAAAAGCAAAAAAAACAAAAGAAAAAAGAAAGGAGAACAATTTATCCACACCAATTTAGAGAACCACCTGGAGCAGAAATTGGTGGTGGTGGAACAAATGGAGGCGGAGGGGAGAATGGAGGAGATCCAGGGCAAGGGCGTCCAGTTACAGGCCCGCAAAGATCTAAATTATTCGCAAAACTGTAAACAAGAAAAATATATTAGCAAATAGTAGCATGCTAAAACCACCAGCCAGTTAGATGGTGCACCGCCTTAAATGAAATATACCTGATAGGCGTGAATAGAGAAAATGAACCATTATCTGGAACAGCACCTGAGAGACGGTTGTTTGACAGATCCCTACATACAGGTGAGACAAGAATTGAGCATAAGTAAATCTGTATATGCATTAGAAGGAAAAGGAAATGCATGAGAAGATATGGAAGACAGAAAGAATTATCTAAATCAAGTCACAAAATAATCAGTGTACTTACAACACTTGCAGTGATGAGATATTAGTCAGTGACATTGGGATGTTACCAGTCAAGCTATTATTGTTGAGCCGACTATCCTTGCAAGAAAACACAAAGGTTTACAGGAATGAGCTTCATCTTTGGTACAAGTAAATAATGGAGAATAAAACAGAAGAAAAGGCTACTAATTGAATCATCTTAATTTATTTATTATTTGACAAGGAGAATCATCTTAATAAATTATTAATATGTGGATGTAAAACATATTCAACTTCGAGCCAGAACCGGCACTTCAGCTGGAAATGAAGGCGTCAGTTCAGAACCACGATAAAGAGCCTCAAAACATCCCCCCCCCCCGATAAACAGACTTGAAACACCTTTTGGACTAAATCATGTTAGTCAACGTTGCAGTACTGCAATAGTTCTATAGTAAGTCCCAAGATGCAGTTAATGAGGTTTCATGCTGAGTCTGCATGATAGAACAATTTGGCACACTTCTTAGACAGTCAAGCCAAAAGAAAGAAGTTTGTGGAGCATTAAGCAAGAGAAACTTCAGCAGTGAAAAATGCAAGATGAAGCATGGGATTCTAAACTTCTTCTCTCTTCTAGAAAAGGATCCCAACACCCATTACTAAACTCTGATTAATTTTACAATATCAGTATCAGACAAAGCATAGGCTTCTATTCTTTTCCTTTATACAAGGATTAGAACAAAGGGAGAAAATTAAAAGACTTATGTAAGATCGGTTTTATGAATGATATCAGACCCATGAAGTCCTCAAATACCTTCTACCATCAAAACTTAAGAGTGAAACATAATACTAATAGAGGTCATCTTATGTGAAACCTAGAAAAGAATTCAGGCTTCCTTTCCTTTCTCAACATGCCAGTAAGAGTAGGTCCATCTTGGTTGATGAAATATACATTTGGCATCACAATATCCACATAAATCTAATATAGAACAAAAATACATACAGGAATCTCAATTTCGACAGCTTGCCCAAGGAATCTGGGATGGGACCGACGAAGTTGTTCAAGTAGAGATCCAAGCTGACCAGATTAGTCAAATTCCCAAGATCACTCGGTATCAGACCACTTATATTATTACTGTAAAGCTCCCTGTGACAAGAAAACCAGAGAATGAGTCAATTCCACATATCATACCAATGACATCCCTAGGATAATGGGACAACCAAGATAATGAAGGAGAATTCTCACATCCATCAATACTGGCATCAAGCGACAATTAAAAGTCAACAAATGAGAAAGGTCTAGGAGTTCCAAGATAGCAATTATAACTAGTTACCGATGTCTATTTCATGGAGGTATTTTCTTATATTTGGTTACAAGCACTTTTCTATATAAAAACCTGTCGTCCCATGTGCTGCAAAGAATCAGCTCGTCAAACATTTTATACAATCTATATAACTCATCAATAAAAATTTAACGTCTGTCATTATGTTAATTTCGAACTTCATCTAAACAGTGTGTATGCCCGGTGATTGTTAAATTCCATCAGCACTCTTGATGTTCTTTCTTTTTTTTTTTGACAAAGATAATGTTATACTTTTGATGTTCTTTTTATATTGTTTCATTCTTGATGTGATTGTCACTTGCATACACTAGGAAAATACTTAGCACGCGTACTACACAAGCCTCAAGCAAATCTAGGCATCCATAGGAATATATTAATGTGTGAGCAGGATGAAGCAGTCACTAGGTAATAATTATACCCATCATTATAACATTGTCTGATGCATGGTTATACATCATGTAATGCCCTGCTTCACCAGGTGCACATGCACATACTGTCTCTGTGAACTTCCATACAGTTGCAGCTTCAAAAGAGCATGGGTTACAATAAGAACAATGAAATTTGAGATGTAATTTAAGTGAACGGTATATTGAACTCCAAACTAAGCTTAACACTTGTACAAAATCTATGCTTAATTGAATCATGATTCGAACTCTTGGTGAAAACCAGAATAGCATCTGTTATATGACCAGAAAACTTCAGATCTTCTCCTCCAAGACATCAACCTACCCTCATGCCATATTTCCTCTTTTTAAGTCTAGATTTTGCTTTACTTTTACAATGGACTTGTTTCTCTTGTTTGTTTTATCCTATTCCATCATCCTAAATCGTGATTAGAGTCTACATGGAACAAGGAAAGAGGGAATAAAGGATTTGATATGAGTTGAAGTTTGTCATTCCAAATTAAGAGTGCTTAGGGTACTGGCATTAGTAATAATATTTAGAATAATACTCTGTTTAAGAGTTCATAAAAAAGTTAACGATTACTCTGCTTATCTTTATATAAGGGAGTGTATGACAAAAATTTAAGTTCAACTACAATGTTTTCACAAGCAATTACAGACACTACTTTGCCACATAAGTTACTTCATTGCTAGTCTCATCCAAGTATCTGAGTTACTTAATTTACTAGTATGTAATGTGAAACAAATATTTAAATCTTTTTTTATGAAGTACACATTCAAATTTGTGTTGTTCAGGGAACACATCAACAACTATGCCATCGACTACAACATCAAGTGAAACAAGAGATGGAGAGGAGAAAGTGTTCTCTGCTCATTTTTGCCACTTACAACAGCTTTGTTTTTATGCAAAAGTTAATATGCAAGCCACCTACATTATTTTCATGCAGCGAATTCTAGAGGTAATATGAAAATCTTCAACAGCTGGAAAAACCAATACACTCAATGCCAGTTTTCCAACTCTAAATTTGTAAAATAATTCCAAACATAGTTCATGAAGTGAGACTTACAAGTACTGCAAATTCTTCAAAAGGCCAAGCTGTGGAACTAACAAACCAGATAAAGCTGCATTTCCTAAATCACTGGAAAGGTTGATCATATAACAAGTGTTATGGGAGCACAAACTGCAATTAGATTGCTCACCACCACAAGAGAGTGGAATTGCAAATCCATTCAAATGGAGGTAGACCAGAAAACAGATTCTTACACTCTTATAACACTGTTGTCATTGTTGCAGGTAACGTGAAACCATGTGCAAGGATTAACAAGGGTTGGGTCCCAGCTCTGTAGCACATTGTTAGGATCTTGTAAATTGACGCGTAGACTGTGCAATGCATCACCTGTTCGTGTATTCATTTAGGAAAACATAGACAATTTTCAACCACCTAAATGCGCATAAAAATTTAATCTATTGACTGAACAAAACAGTTTATCAAGATTTTGGCAAACAACCAAATTAAATCACATCAAATTACTCAAGCTTGTATAGGAAACATAATGCACTAAGGTTGAATGGCAATGATAACTAAAAACTTTCACATTTAACTGACATTAAAACTAAACTGCTTGTCACTGTAACAGTGCAGGGAACTCATTGTACATCTTGCTTACCCTTTTGGGAAAATTCAACAACTCACACATTAGTCAAATTCAAAATCCAATTTTGCACATACCAATTTCACTTTTAGCATATATTTTATTTCTAGTACGAAAAGTTTCGACATTTGAAACTCATCTCACAAAATAGAACATCAAATATAGACCTAAAATTAACTAAATGAGGATGATGGGCCCACAAACCTTCCATATTAGCATAAATGAGCTTAAGATGATATACAACCAAGATTAGCCATACCACCAGTGATACCACCACAGTATCCTTCTCCATCACCTTCACCATCAAAATACTGTTTTTTTTTTAGAAATCAAGCAGCCAGCTGACTAACAATCTCGTAGATCCAAGTAAAGCAAACTCAAAAAACCCAGCATTTACCCAAAAATTCAAGAAAACCCTACCCTTCATTACCATGAACCAAGATAAACACCCCCACAAAGCTCAAAACCCAAGAATCGATCTCATCTCATAACCCAACAAAAAAAGATCAAATTTTTACACTTATTTTCCAAGATTTTGCTACCCCTTTTACTCTTCACAGAACAACCCTTTTTTGTATTTCTCAGTTCAGTTTAACTCTTCTCCTTCTTCTGATGAACCCCTTTTCTTTTTCTTTTTTTTTTATCTGCTGCAACTTTTCACATTTTTGTACTGCTTCTCTTTCTCTCTCTACTGAATTGTGTGTGCGCAGAGAGAGAAAAAAAAAAGTAAGTGAGAGAAATTATTATCTTCTCTTTTTGGGCGTGTTAAGCTGCCCGAACGGTGCTTTGCCCGTCTGCCCGTAACCTTAAAACTCTAAAACGGCTTCGCGCTATCTTTGACTCCTGTCAACTTTTGACACTTTTTTCAAATTTTATTAAAAAGTAATTTATATCTTCTTGCTTTTTTTTATAAATGGCAAAATACATTAATATCAACTACCCTTAACCAAAACTTAGTAATAATAATAATAATAATATAAATAGTTCTATTTTACATGTGACATTTTAAGATAATCAATAAAATATATCAATTATTTTGAATTAAGAATGTTGCTTTTGATAGATCTCGATGAAAATAAAAAATAAAAAATAACTTATATTAGAAAAATAAATAATATTTATATTTCAATTAATTTTAATATATATAATTTAATTAGCGGACTTAAAAATATGATAAATTATCTATAGAATAGGTCGAGCACAAAATATAAAATATGAATTAAAAATATCTAATAGCTAAAAAGTATTTTAGCATGTATTGAGTTGATCATCTAAAGTAAATTATAATTAAATATCTATATGAAATTTATCATAAGAAATTATCGATGTAATCAACATTCTCCTTAATATCCACTAGCATGTGTTAGTAAAGAATGCATAAACTTATCTTTAGTGTTCAAGTTTTTTTTTTTTTTATAACCTTTGTTTTTAAAAAAATAAAATAATTTAATCTTCTTCGTTTTTAATGTATATAAAGTATAATTTAACATGATACAAAACTTAAAAACAAACTTTAAGACTTCATAATCTTAAACATGGTTATAAATTTGTGTAGTAATTTTATAATACTTTTGCATATTTTTCTCTAATCACATTTTAGGATTCATATTTTTTTTGTGTGTGTATTTTTATAAAAGGGATTTATATTAATATATAGAGTATAATTTATTAGGACACTAAATTTAAAAACAAATTTTAAGACTTTATAATCTTAAACATGGGTATAAAATTGTGCTGTAATTATAAAAAACTTACATATTTTTCTACAATCACATAATTATTCTCTTTGATGGATTCATATTTTTCTTATTTATTTATTTTGTGTGTGTGTTTTCAAATGAACTCGTGACTAAATTAAAGTGTATCTATAGACAATCATTTTTCGAATCATATATATTCGATATTTGATTAAGTCAAATATAATATATACAGTAAAATTAAGAAATAATTATCCTAAACAAACTGTAACCATAATTATTTAAAGTGATTTCTTTACTTTCAAATTATATTTATTCAAAATTATTTTTAAAAATATTTTTAATATGAGTTAGGAATCAATAGAAAACAAACAGAACGCATCTTAAATCATCTCATAAGAGTGATTCACCAATGTTATCACCAATAACAGGATTTTGTTCACGCTTTCTACTTTTATCAGAAAGTAATAAAATTTATACATAATAATCTCTTTAGATTCAGATTTTACACGTGAAATTATATTTAATTTAGTGTAGTTGTGATTTATAAATATTGGAAATTGTTTACACGTTAACATGAGCATTATAAAGAACTTTTCCTTTTGAATCCATTTTTTTTATTATTATTTTGCTTTGACATCATTATCTATAACTTGAAAACAAACTTCCTCTTTTAATGCATGCTACATATAATCCTTAATGCACAATTTCTTGTAAATTACCTCTTTTGTTTTGTATACAAAGTGGGTTGCTGAAAAAGTGCAAATTCAGAAATTTTTTAAACACTAAAGTTACATTAATTTTGACCAAAAAAAATGAAAATAAAGTAAGGTTGCACGTGTGGGTATTAGTAGTTAATTTTAAATAATTTTAAGTGGGCTAATTACAATTTCTTTTTTAAAATACAACAAAGATTATCTTTAGCAATTAAATTAACTCTTGTGTACCTTAGCCCCAACACGAAAAAAATATATATATATATTTCCCCAAATATAAAAATGTTGCTACTTAGTTGGAAAGTGACCTTTATTAATTTGTTGAGAAAAAGAAAGATATTTGGTTTGTGGGGAATTTACATCAAATATCCAAAAATGAAATCATGGGAAAGTGACAGGACAGTGTGAGCGACCCCTAATATTTGTAGGTCCATAGTTTTTTTTGTTTTCTTTTTGATTTTTTTGATCGGGTTCGATATTCATATTAAAATTTGATTAATTTAAATTTTTTATTATATAATTTTTTTTTATATTTAAAACTTAAATTTAAATCTATGATTAAGAAAAAAACAGTCTGAACTATTGTTTCACGTCCTTAAGTAGTTGTTTTTATTTTCAATTAAATTTGATAGTCCAAACCTAGTCAATATTCCGTTTTGAGAACAATTACGGAAAGGGACAATTTTTGTTAATTAATTTTTTTTCATTTTTGGCCCAAATAGAAGACAACATATTATTGTATTAGTCCCACATTCTTTTATTTTGTATAGGGACATTATTGTATTTATGCTATTTGATTATTTATTTATATTTTTATTTTTTTTGTTTATCTTGGTTTTGGCATTTTGATTTGTCTTTTTGTCTTTTGGATGATTTTTTTCGTGATTTATGACTAGTGAAACATAATCAACATCATGGCTTTTTTCTAAGTTTCTCTTTTTGAAATTGGAGTTGGTTAAGGTCAATGACCACAAGGCAATGGAATGGACCTCTTTTTTGCAATTTTATCTTTATAGTAAATAATAAAATAAAATTCTAAAGTAGCTTTTACTATGTTTTTTACTTTGAAATTATTGTATAAAGTGTATTTACGATGTCTTCTATGGAGCCATTGCTATTGATAGCTATTAATAGTTCATCTACATATACAGAAATGATCACATAACATTTATTGAAATGATCACACAACATTTGAATTAACATTTTTCTATAAAAGAAATATCCTTCGGAAGAAATAATCATCTGAAATTTTAAAATCTTACAAGTCATTTTTCGAAAACTCCAAATATAATAATTCTTCTTAATTGGTAGCACAATTTGGGACAACTTAGTCATTCAAATTCTTTTACACTTTTTTCATTCATTCATTATTCAATTTTTATTTCAAATAGATTTTTCTAGCAAAGTATTTAACCAATTAATTATATAGAATGTATAAGAATGATTCTATATTTTTCCACCGAGAAAAAGATAAATAATTCTTCTTTTCAGTTCCATTACTATCCAAAAAGTAGGGGGATTACTCAGGTAAAAGTTAGATTTGAGAATTGAGAAAATTGAAAAGTATCACATGACGGAAAGAATAAATTAAAAGTGACTCAACTGAGATAACATCACATGATATCTTCGCAACGAGAATTGGGTGGATAAACCTGACCAAGAAATAACAAAGTAAAAACAATCATAATTAATGTCATATCAACATAGTCCGTCTAACCTAAAAAAAAAACAATATCAAACACCAAATATGACAAGTTGGGGGTCTAACTGTTACATAAGATAAAGAATTCGAGATCTCCACCAATCATTACATAATTGAAATGTGATAATGCAAGTTACAATTTACAAACCACATATTTAGGTAATTTCAAATTCATATATTCTTAAATTGTGTCTATAAATTCAATTATATAGTTTTATAGGTAAACACTACCAAAACTTTAGAATCTAATGATTGATATATTTTTTTTCATGTATTTTTACATTTAAAATTTTGAAATCATGTTTTCGATATCTTTGGCGTTGTACTTTTCTTCAATGATTAATGTATTTTTACTGTGTCATTTCAGAAATTGAAAACCATAGTGAAAATGAAGAGAAAAAAAAAGGAATTGCAATCAAACCAAAATTTTGAACCCCATCACATTATTACTTTGTGAACTTTAATAAGTGAAAGCCCGGCCCAAAATTTCTCCTCAATTGTCTTTGAAAACTTTAATGGTAGCATGTGGAGAGAGAAGGCAAATGCAATAACAATCATTTAAATTTCCCTATTTAAAGTGGAGAAAATGTTGACCATAGTAGTGTTAAAAGTTTCAAACTTACTCATAAGACTTCTATTATCTTGATTGACAAAAAGCATAAACAACATAAAATAAAATAATGCCAGAACGTGAAGGTGAAATTATTTTACCTTTAATAAGAGGTTTAGATTCAAATTTTGGACATGAAGAAAATCTTGTCGTCTGAATAGGCTATGCAGTTTGCGATTTGAATTAAGTCAGCTCTCCAACGAAGGCTTCAAACATCAGATAAAAAATCATAGATTGAAAAGAATGGAAAATTTTACTCCACTATTATAAAGATAAGTCATTTCTATTTAAAAAAAACACAAACACACGCTATAAAACATATTCTCATCATAACATTGAAAAACTTTTTAAACTTTTCATGTGAAAATATTAATTATTTCTTAATGAATATGAAAAGAGTTAAAATCGCTATGAAAATGAGACGGAGGGAGTATTAATTAGCCTTTCATTTTGTTAGAAGTTAGAACTAGTATCATCCATATTCTTCTTCAAAAGATATGAATGAATGTGGAAAAATGATGACCATGGGAAGTTGACATATAATTATGTAATGGGGAATCTTTTAATTGTCTATGTTTG